GGCCCACTCACATGAGGGAGGACAGTCTACTTTACTCCATCTATTAATTCAAATGTTAATCTCATCCAGAAACACCATCACAGACACACCTAGAATAAAGTTTAAACAAATATCTAGGCACCCACTGTCCCAGTCAAGCTGACACATAAAATAACCATCACATTATTAGACAAAAAAGCTATTAAATGTATGAATTTTTAAACAGCAGAATGTTATAAAAATATATTTATGTTATAAAATAAAACATAAAACCAGCCTTGCTGGCAGCTTGAGGATATTCAGTGGCATAAAACCACAAGCACTTAGCCAAATACTTTCCTTATTTGTAATTTCAAAAGAAGAGAGTAAGTTAAATAAAGCTTTTGAAAAAGACCAGGCCCAACTCTAGTTAAATAATAAAAACACATTACATAACAATTGTTTTGTATAACAAAATTCCAAACTGTATGCTTTGGCAACTGACCGGAGAGGCTGAAGAGCATCTACTGTCATAAAACCACAAGCCCTCAGTCGGATGATTCATTTCCCCACCTGTCATTTTTAAGAAAGTTTATGAAAAAGAATCAAGACCAGAATATAACCACCTGAAACCTACTTACATATTTTCTCCTTTTTCTTTGCCCCAAAACTAGGCTCAGTGGTTTGGAATTTTAAAAGCTCAAATCAAGAACGACTTTCCAAGGAAATGTATCCATGGTTCCATTAAATTGGAAACTGACACTGACCTATTGTCCTCTGTCCATTTTCATCCCCTTGGCCCCCAAAAAACTGATAATTGAGAAGAAATTACAGTAATGAAAGAGTGAGTGACTCATCCAGATTACCAAAAGGATTTTGAGTTGCTGCATCACAATGGGGAAAAGACTACTTCTGTGACTGAGATTCACTGGGGCGTCACTTAGCACTCCCGAGTCCAGTCCTAAAACTCAATGGAAAACTGATGCAACTCCATGAGAACATCACCTGCAAGGACTCAGATCCTTTGGCAATGAACGCTTGAGTCACCTTCCCAGGTAAATATTCACCAGAAACTTGAGCTGCCTGCTAAGATTAAGGAGAACATGGAGTTGATGTCACAAGAAGAAAAGTGAGAATGCTTTCTTCCTGTGATTTTCATGATTATTGAAAAAGTACTGGTGATCATTAAGGTTATAATTTGGGTTACAGATGGGATTATAATTGGTTTAATATCACCCCATGATGATATGTTGACTGACAGGCTTTTGTGTCTTCCTTATGTTGTGAAGAATGTTTTCTCGTCTGAGTAAATGGCAATAGTAGATGAATTTTAGCGATTGACAATAGGGATGAAGTGTGTTGGTTATTTTTGTTTTATCCACCTAGATATATCCTGTAACCTTTTCTGCATGCTATGTGACCTAGGAGGCTGAGGCTTGTAAACCATATTATCTGGGCTTAGCTAATAGTTGTGTTTAGCCCCTGGTAGGCAACTGCAAGAAATCCAAGAGTGGGAGGAGAGATGCCAACCCCATCAAAAGCATTACTTGTCACTGTGTCTCTGGCAGTGGCTTTCTCACTCAACAATTATAGCTGCTGGTTAGTGGTCCTTCGTTTTAAGTGCTAGCCAATAACACTATTTCTTCCCCTTTCCACGGAAATTCCAGGTTTCCTAAAATCTTCCCATTCTTGCTGATCCAAACATCCATGTGGTATCTTCTCTCTGCCTACATATATGCAAGTGGTTCCTTTATTAGAGTATGACTACTTGAACTATTTGATTTAAATTCTGTTTGCTGTTAGGTCCCAAGTTGATATTGTAGTATATTTTTTTATCCTTGTGTAGCAGATTCCTGTGGTGGTCTCCCTGTATCCCCTCAGCTCTCACCTCTAAATTTCAAGGCTGGTTACTAAAAACATCCATGACTCTTGGCTCTGCAGAGCTAAGTGTCACCTTTGCATTTACAGGGCTACTTAATACAAATGATATGACTATCTGCCTTAGGGGCTTTTTTTTCCCTCACCTTTGGAGCATGCTGGACATCAAACAAGGCAAAGTGTAGGTGACAGAGATTTATATCACCCCTGGGGGAAGTCCTTTAACAAGTATGGTTGGGTATTTGGTGGCTAAATATCCCCAGCCTCTTCACCCTATACTTGGGATGAATGTGAGGTATATGATCTACACAGTCTCACACAGGGTCCCCCTGGGAATTACTTCCAATTGCCCACAGTGGTAACCTGCTAGTTTGTTCTCCCCACCCTTGATTGGCTGCCTTCCTTATATGTCTCATGATCCCACACCCCTACCAGTGCTATCTGGGACTCCCTCTCAAGTAAGCACTTTCTACTCACAGTGTGTCCCAGGGTCTATTTCCAGGGAAAGCATACTTGAACACCTTGCATGCTAATTTACCCTCACACTTGAATGTCTGGCCAAAAGTAATGCAGGCTCAAAGTTATTTTGCACCAACAATTGAAAGGCAATTCTTTATTTCCTGGGCATTTCTAGTTGCTTCATTAATTCTCCTTCTTTTGAAAGAACGCCCTCCACACTCTACAAGCCACACCCATTTTAAATTCACTTTTGATTCCAACTTTTAATCACTGTCTCCTCCAAACATCAAGAGAGACAAATCAAGACCTCTAAGTGGGCTCCTTAAAGCCCCCTCCTGATAGAAATTTAGGGCTGCAGGGCCTCTCCACGTGTCCACTCAGCTGCCCTTCCAGCTTTTCTAAACAGGGCCCCTCTTGACTGCAGCACCCCCAGACTCTGCAACATTAGTAAACACCCTTTCAAGGGGTAGTAGCTAGAGTTCATCTGCTTGTGACCTCCGGTAGCACACAGACGGCTCAGAAGTCAAGAAACCATGTGAACGAAAGCCATATCCAACCAAAAGCGACACAACTTCCATTTGTAATGGTTGCATCAGGGGAAGGATTTATTGATCCACAATATTTTCTTGGATTTTCAATCCTATCCAGAGGGCAGAGCTAGGTCAATGGCATGGTGTGTTGGCAAAGGCCAGCTCCACTCTGGTGTGGCTTGTGCCAGCGTCCACAGTGACTCTGTCAGATACATATCATTTCTTTGATTCCCAACCTGTCTACTGAGTAAAATGTTCAGCATGGATTTAGTGGCTAGGCTGGGTCTTAAGTATACATCCACCTTTCTCCTGATGCTCCATGCAGATATACTGGGACCGACTTCAGAGTGTCCTTGAGCCATGACTGCTTGACTCCATTGATGGCTTCAGGAAGACAGCACAGCAGAGAGACATGTGAAAGTTGATGGGATCCAGAATTACCTGAAAGAGAAAACACCAAGGAGTACTGGAAACCCCTCTGCACTTCCCCTTCCTAACACAGACACACACAGAGACACAGAGACACAGACACACAGACACACACATGCACACACACACACACACACACACACACACACTTGACCAAAAGAGTTGGCTTTGCATGAATATATTTCTAGAATCTCTATGTTGGTCCATGGACATGTCTTTCAATTTCTGTTTCATTTACTAATCCTACAGAGTAAGTTTCGAGTCCAGAATGACAAGCTCCCCCTCTTACATAATCCTTCCCATTTTTTGTAGTATAATTTCATCTGGTCTTTCAGTTACACAAACACTTAAAATCATGATGTGACTTGTGATTAGGATTGCACTGGATTTACTGATTTATTTAAAGGAGAATTGGTACCATTGCAAAAATTGTTCTTTATTTTCAGAAAAATGTAGTATTTTAAAATCTTATTTGAATATTCAAACTAGAAGCTTATAAAAAGTTGCATGTGCGTTTTCCTTATATGTGTCTTCATCATTTTTCTAGGTATTTCATAACATTTGTGACCAGTGTAAGACATTTTATTTCTATTATATTCCCTATTTATTGGAAGACTATGCAAATTTTTATTTTATTTATTTTTGTTGTAGAGATGGTATCTTCTTATGTTGCCCGGGATGGTCTTGAACTCCTGGGCTCAAGCGATCCACCCCCCTCAGCATTCCAAAACACTGGGATTATAGGTATAAGCCACTGTGCCTGGCCTACTATGCTAATTTTTATGCATTTAACTTCTATCAGTCAGCCTCTCCTGGCCTACTTCCTCAGTGATTGCCTTGGTTTTCTAGAATGTGAGTTCCTTAAGAGAAAGACAGTTTTCCACTTTCTTTGTTAATAAAATACTCTATACCAATAAGTTATCTTCCTTCTTCAAATTGTTTAGGACACTGAATATGGCCTCAGGATCTTTACATGGTTCTACGTGGGGTAGAAGAAAACCCAGAGGACTGAGGCTTCCCTCCCTCAGGGAAGAGAAAGAGAGTGTGTGACCTGGGTCCCTTTACAGGAACCTCAATTTCCTTGGTTCTTACATAAGACTATGGCACTCAGCCACAGGATGTACCTGCTTCCTCACCCAGCAACTTCCCTCACCTTATTGAGCCCTGAACCAGAAGGAACCCAGGTGGTGGTGGCCAGCGTTTGAATCTTTAAAAAAAATTTTTTTATTATTATTAAAACCAAGGCAATCACTGAGGAACATGTGAAGGGGTACATGTGAAGAACATGCAAGATTGGGCAGCCAGATGTGAGTGGGTAGCCAGTGTGGAGGGAAGCCATGTCTCCTCATAATAGTCATTTTAGTTCCTCATGAGAGCCCCACTACAAAAAAACACAAAATTCTGTCCTTACCATTATCCCTCTGTGTGATGGTTAATACTGAGTGTCAACTTGATTGGATTGAAGGATGCAGGGTGTTGATCTTGGGTGTGTCTGTGGGGTGTTACCAAAGGAGATTAGCATTTGAGTCAGTGGGCTTCGGAAGGCAGACACACCCTTAATCTTGTGGGCACAATCTAATCAGCTGCCAGTGAATATAAAGCAGGGAGAGAAAGGTGAAAAGTTGAGGCAGGCCTATCCTCCCAGTCTACATCTTTCTCCCGTGCTGGATGCTTCCTGCCCCCGAACATCAGACTCCAAGTTCTTCAGTTTTGGGATTCTGACTCTCCTTGCTCCTCAGCTTGCAGACAGCTTATTGTGGGACATTGTGATTGTGTAAGTTAATACTTAATAAACTCCTATATATAATATATAATAAACATATACATGATAAATATATATGGTTATCTAAGATAGACATATACATGTATACATAAGATATATATATGTATGTATGTATCTTATTAGTTCTGTCCCTCTAAGAGAACCCTGACTAATACATTTTGACAGCCTGGAAAATCATGTCCTCCATCTAGACAATAACCACATGGGTCACACTTTAATGGCAACAATATAGCAATTCTAGATCAGAGACTTAGAAGGGACTATGTCTTGAGACATATGAGTGAGTCTCAAGGAGCTGGACCAGTTTTAGCATAAGATTTTTTGAGGCATTAAAAGCCCATCTGCATTCCAGGTTCACATAATAAAAATGTGGAGCTCCACTGCACTGAGCTTTGGGAGGGGGTTAGACAGGTGTGTGAGGCACAGCAATGTCAAATTGCAGTGTTTAATTTCTGCAGCTAAACACTCTGTTTACACGAATTGTGTAATTCATGAAGGAGTAATTGCAGAGTCATGTCCAAGGCTGGATGCAGAGATTGACAAGTAAGTGGGAAATTCAACCTGGGACTAATTCCCTGATTGGAACATGGAGGATAAAGTTGCTGATCACTACCTAGGGAACTTGGCAAGATGGAAATTCGACCTGGGACTAATTCCCTGATTGGAACATGGTGGACAAAGTTGCTGATCACTACCCAGGGAACCTGGCTAGATGCAGTGGATGCTGTTAATTTACACAAAGAAGAAATTTTAATGAAGGAATGAAGGGATTTTGCATAAGCCAGGGACAAGGTCTGAGGCTAGGAGAGCTGAGCATTTCATCTAGGAAAGAGATATGCAGATGGCACTCAGCCACAGGATATACCGGCTTCCTCACCCAGCAACTTCCCTCACCCTATTGAGCCCTGAACCAGAAGGAACCCAGGTGATGGTGGCCAGCGTTTGAATCTTTTTTTTTTTATTTTTGCATTTTAGGTTTTGGGGTACATGTGAAGAACATGCAAGATTGTTGCATAGGTACACACATGGCAGCGTGATTTGCTGCCTTCCTCCCCTTCACCTATATCTGGCATTTCTCCCCTTGCTATCTCTCTCCAACTCCCCACCCTCCGCTGTCCCTCCCCTATTTCCTCCTAACAGACCCCAGTGTGTGATGCTCCCTCCCTGTGTCCATGTGTTCTCATTGTTCAATACCCACCTATGAGTGAGAACTTGTGGTGTTTGATTTTCTGTTCTGTGTCAGTTTGCTGAGAACGATGGTTTCCAGGTTCATCCATGTCCCTACAAAGGACACGAACTCAACGTTTTTGATGGCTGCATAATATTCCATGGTGTACATGTGCCACATTTTCCTTGTCCAGTCTATCATCGATGGGCATTTGGGTTGGTTCCAGGACTTTGCCATTGTAAACAGTGCTGCAATGAACATTCGTGTGCATGTGTCCTTATAGTAGAACGATTTATGATCCTTTGGATATATACCCAGTAATGGGATTGCCGGGTCAAATGGAATTTCTATTTCTAGGTCCTTGAGGAATTGCCACACTGTCTTCCACAATGGTTGAACTAATTTACACTTCCACCAACAGTGTAAAAGTGTTCCTATTTCTCCACATCCTCTCCAGCATCTGTTGTCTCCAGAATTTTTGAAGATCACCATTCTAACGGGCGTGCGACGGTATCTCAATGTAGTTTTGATTTGCATTTCTCTAATGACCAGTGATGATGAACATTTCTTCATATGTTTGTTGGCCTCATGTATGTCTTCTTTTGTAAAGTGTCTGTTCATATCCTTTGCCCACTTTTGAATGGGCTTGTTTTTTTTTTTTTTTTTTGTAAATCTGTTTTCGTTCTTTGTAAATTCTGGATATCAGCCCTTTGTCAGATAGGTAGACTGCAAAAATTTTTTTCCATTCTGTTGGTTGCCACTCTAATGACTGTTTCTTTTGCTGTGCAGAAGCTGTGGAGTTTGATTAGGTCCCATTTGTCTATTTTGGCTTTTGTTGCCAATGCTTTTGGTGTTTTGGTCATGATGTCCTTGCCTACGCCTATGTCCTGAATGGTTTTGCCTAGATTTTCTTCTAGAGTTTTTATGGTGTTAGGTCTGATGTTTAAGTCTTTAATACATCTGAAGTTAATTTTAGTGTAAGGTGTCAGGAAGGGGTCCAGTTTCTGCTTTCTGCACATGGCTAGCCAGTTTTCCCAACACCATTTATTAAACAGGGAGTTCTTTCCCCATTGCTTGTTTTTGTCAGGTTTGTGGAAGATCAGATGGTTGTGGATATATTGTGTTGCCTCTGAGGCCTCTGTTCTGTTCCATTGTTCTATATTTCTGTTTTGGTACGAGTACCATGCTGTTTTGGTTACTGTAGACTTGCAGTATAGTTTGAAGTCTGGTAGTGTGATGCCTCCCACTTTGTTCTTTTTGCTTATAATTGACTTGGCTATGCAGGCTCTCTTTTGGTTCTATATGAAGTTTAAGGTGTTTTTTTCCAGTTCTGTGAAGAAGGTCATTGGTAGCCTGATGGGGATAGCGTTGAATCTGTAAATTACTTTGGGCAGTATGGACATTTTCACCATATTGATTCTTCTTAACCATGAACATGGAATGTTTCTCCATCTGTTTGTGTCCTCTCTTATTTCGTTGAGCAGTGGCTTGTAGTTCTCCTAGAAGAGGTCCTTTACGTTCCTTATTAGTTATATTCCTAGGTATTTTATTCTCTTTGTAGCAATTGTGAATGGCAGTTCATTCTTGATTTGGCTCTCTTTAAGTCTGTTATTGGTGTATAGGAATGCTTGTGATTTTTGCACATTGATTTTGTATGCTGAGACTTTGCTGAAGTTGCTTATCAGTTTCAGGAGATTTTGGGTTGAGACGATGGGGTCTTCTAGATATACAATCATGTCGTCTGCAAATAGAGACAATTCGACTTCCTCCTTTCCCATTTGAATACGCTTTATTTCTTTTTCTTGCCTGATTGCTCTGGCTAGAACTTCCAGTACTATATTGAACAGGAGTGGTGAAAGAGGGCATCCTTGTCTAGTGCCGGATTTCAAAGGGAATGCTTCCACTTTTTGCCCATTCACTATGATATTGGCTGTTGGTTTGTCATAAATAGCTTTTATTATTTTGAGATACGTTCCATCAATACCTAGTTTATTGAGGGTTTTTTAGCATAAAGCACTGTTGAATTTTGTCAAAGGCTTTTCTGCATCCATTGAGATAATCATGTGGTTTTTGTCTTTGGTTCTGTTTATGTGGTGAATTACGTTTATAGACTTGCGTATGTTGAACCAGCCTTGCATCCCTGGGATGAATCCTACTTGATCATGGTGGATAAGCTTTTTGATGTGCTGTTGCAATTGGCTTGCCAGTATTTTATTGAAGATTTTTGCATCTATGTTCATCATGGATATTGGCCTGAAGTTTTCTTTTCTTGCTGAGTCTCTGCCAGGGTTTGGTATCAGGATGATGTTGGTCTCATAAAATGATTAGGGGAAGGATTCCCTCTTTTTGGATTATTTGAAACAGTTTCAGAAGGAATGATATCATCTCTTTGTATGTCTGGTAGAATTCAGCTGTGAACCCATTTGTACCTGGGCTTTTTTTGGGTGGTAGTCTCTTAATTGCTGCTTCAAATTCAGACCTTGTTATTGGTCTATTCAGGGTTTCAACTTCTTCCTGGTTTAGGCTTGGGAGGATGCAAGTGTCAAGGAATGTATACATTTCTTCCAGGTTTACTAGTTTATGTGCATAGAGTTGTTTGTAATAATCTCTGATGATGGTTTGAATTTCTGAGGAATCTGTGGTGATATCCACTTTATCATTTTTTATTGCATCTATTTGATTATTCTCTTTTCTTTTTTATTAATCTGGCTAGTGGTCTGCCTATTTCGTTGATGTTTCCAAAAAACCAGCTCCTGGATTTATTGATTTTTTTGAAGGGCTTTTTGTGTCTCTATCTCCTTCAGTTCTGCTCTGATCTTAGTTATTTCTTGTCTTCTGCTAGGTTTTGAGTTTTTTTTTTTTTTTAATCTTGCTCCTCTAGCTCTTTCCATTTTGACGATAGGGTGTCAATTTTAGATCTCTTCTTGCTTCTCATGTGGGCATTTATTGCTATATATTTTCCTCTAGAGACTGCTTTAAATGTGTCCCAGAGATTCTGGTACGTTTTGTCTTTGTTCTCATTGGTTTCGAAGAACATCTTTATTTCTGTCTTCATTTCATTGTTTATCCAATCAACATCCAGCATTTGAATCTTGAGGACAGTTGGCACTAGGTTCTGAGGGCAGTTATGAGTCACCGTAGCAACTGTGACTTCACTTGGTTCTGAACCAGTCAGGCTCTGGGACTCAGAGAAAGAGAGAGAGTGTGCCAAGGAAGGAGGTCGTGTTTCCTCTCACTGTTTACTCTCTGGTCCAGATTTTTCTTCAAAAGAAATCTGAGTGGTCTGACAGGTAAAATATCCTGATATATCAAGATTATACAGCATCCTTTTGTGCCATTACCTAACCAATCTATCTGTTAAACCCCAACCCTGTTTGGTAATGGGGGGAGGGTATGGGAGAGTCATTTGTTCAAACTGATACAGAGACACTATAGAGGAGTGGGTAGGAGCACAAGGCTTCAGATACAGGTTTTCCCAGTTCCAGTCTCACCTCTCTGTAACCTTGGGCAAGTCCTTTAATCTTGCTTGGGAGCCCAAAATTGAGAACACAGTGGGCATCCACCCCTGGCCTTGGCAATGTGTCAGATTCAAATAAAATACCACACAGCACTTTTTGAGGTGAGACAGGGTCACTTTTTGAGGTGAGACAGGGTGAGTACAATCTTTAAATCACTGAGATTATGTTCCCAGGATGGAAACTCAGCAGGATGGGCCTCAGAAACAGAAGCTAGGTAGCATTTGAGAATGTACAGTTTATTTCTTCCATGGGGGGTTGGAGTAAGATCCATACCTGCTTCACCAATGATTTTCAGAGGAGGCAGAGGTGAGAAGAAGACAGCTCTGCAAAAGAGCAACATAAAATCCAGTTAAAATTAGTGTGGCTATAAGAATCCTCACTAATGACTACTGCTATACTACTGTTGGTAGCTGTGACTACTGCTGGTAGCTGAGTATGTGTGTGTTTGTGTGTGTGTGTGTGTGTGCATGCGATATGTGGCTGTGTGGGTGTGTGGCAAGTGAGGAAGAGGTCCCAGGTCCACTTGATTACCTGAAAATCATTATCCTTTTCAGGCTTTCTTAGTTAACTGTCTTCCTGAGGTTGTTTGGAGCCACTGCGTCATGGGTAAAGAACTCCCTAAAGCTGCTCCCAGCGAGACCACACTGAACATCAAGAAGCCTGACAAAGCCTTCAAACGCAAGAAGCCCACCAAAAATGTGCTGATCTTTTTAATCAACAGACAACTGGGCAGGCACAGAAGTGACATCGACCTGTCAAGGTGGCTGTGGATGCTGTCATAAAGCAACTCCAGAGTGAACATGGCCTTTGACAAAAAGTCATGGGGCTTATGTGCTGAGGCCTGCCCAGAATTTTGAGAAGTTAAATATAATTAGAACAATAAAGTCATCCCATGTTTGAGCCACTAAAACAGAGTCTGTCATTTCATTCCTTTGAGTTGGATGTGTGTTTGCTGACTGGACGTTCTTGGGTTACACTGGAAGGGATTTCTGTTCATCCTAACATGCTGTGCAGGGGTGCTCAGACACAGGGGAGAGGGTGAGATCATGCTGCACACCAGATCTCCCTCACCATCAATCTGAAAATCTCTGTGAAGTTGAAGTGATGTAGTACATGGCATTCAAGGACCAAAGACTCTTCTCCCTAGCCATTTTGGAGAGACAGCCCTGGTGTTCCCCTCTAAAACTTAATGCTTGTCCTAGTGAAAAGACATTGTTTAAGAGCAGACCAACAGCTGGGCTGGGGGTTTGGGGTATGTTTTAACATTGCAGATATCATGTCCACAGAGCCTACTAGAGGCAATTGTTCTTACTGTCCCCAGGAATGTAGAATACGCTGGTGCCTTTTTTTTTTTTTTTTTTTTTTTTTTTTTTTTTTTTTTTTTGGCATGTCAAACAATCCTTCAGGCTTCAATCAAAGAGAATTAATTTTCCTGAAGGGAAGCCACTTGATAGTCCAATAAGACACGTTAACTCCCATTCAAAAAGCTCTGTCCCTAAGGAATGTGCTGAGGAAGTCACATACTCACTCCAAGAAACCTGAAATGGGAATTATGTGGGCAATTGGTCACTAAGAAGTGAGAACTAAAGGTGAATTGGGGGCAGGGAGAGCAAAGAAGTCAGAGCCTCAGTGGATATTGGCAAGCCTAAGTTAAGGGTAAGATGAAATTTACATAAAGTGAACCACAAAAATGTTAACTTATATAAAATCACAACGTATAAATTTGTGAAAGGAGAGAAGGAGACTCTATTTCTTAGAAAGTGTTGCAGCCTACAAGGCAGCCATGCCACAGACTGGGAAGTGTGCCTCTGGCCAAAATCACAGACCAGCACTTGGAAGGAGGAGGGACTGGGGCAGGAGCTTTATGCTGAATGAGTTGGCTGAACATACAAATTCTACAAGTTACAAGAGGAACCATAAATATTCATAAAGAGGATCCTGATGCATTCGTCTACAAGAAACATCCCTGTAACATGCCACCCATGTTCACCTTGGGGTGCAGATGTAACATTTAACTCTAAGACATTTAGGCCCTATATGGTAACAGCTCTTTCAGGGCACATAGGCACACAATGTCCCAGCCAGAGCCAGTCCATGGTGGGTGGTTTCTTTTTTTTTTTGAAACAGAGTCTTGCTCTGTTGCCCAAGCTGGAGTGCAATGGCATGATCTCGGCTGACTGCAACCTCTGCCTCCCGGGTTCAAGTGATTCTCCTGCCTCAGCCTCCAAGTAGCTAGGATTACAGGCCCCTACTACCACACCTGGCAAATTTTTGTATTTTTAGTAGAGACAGGATTTCACCAAGTTGGCTAGGCAAGTCTCGATCTCCTGACCTCTGGTGATCCACCCGCCTCGGCCTCCCAAAGTGCTGGGATTACAGGCGTAAGCCACCACGACCGGCAGTGGTTTCTTATTAGAAGAGACTTACTGTAATCAATCTATTGCCCAATGAAAGCTGTAGTTATGGCTGTGGTACAGGAGAGTGAGGGTCAGTTAGTCAGCATCTGGCAATAAGTGAGTTGCAATTGTTTCAATATTGCTTATCTCTAGGCCAGTAGTCTTAATGCAAATATTTTAACCTCCAAACTACCCAAGTCCTATTTTGGAGAGAAGGAAAGGAGAAAATCTGTGAATCATTTTATGGGGGGCATAAGAATGGGGAGAGTCATTCTCTATCCCATCCTGGTAATGAAGCATGGCACTATAACTTGCTTACAGGTCCAGAGCTAGAGCCATATCCTATAGGACAGCCCTTCAACCTTGGCAGGCTTCTGCTTCCTATATAATGCTACAGTCGACTTTTCCACAGGCCATTCCAGCACTGTATGAGGCCAGATGCCTCTGGGTGATGGTAAGACTGGTAGATTACACAGGCCTGAGCACATGTACCATCTTCAGTTGCCATAAAAAGAGTTATTGAACAAAAGTGATGTTTTGAAGAAATGGCAGTGTTGGGGAAGTAGATCAGCAATACAGAAATGTATGGGTAACTGTAGAGGAACTGCCTGTTTAGTCACCTCACCTCCCAGCAAAGAAAATGAAACTTTAAGCTAAAGGACTTCATCTGTCCCTCACATAAACTTGATTCTGAATTTTGGATTTGTCATTCTCATGTCTGTATGGCTGTTGCGTAAAATAAGTAGAGGCCAAATTCAATTTTCTTTGTCCCATAACCCCTCCCAATGTCTAAGCCACATCCATTCTTCTGGGTTCTTTCATCTCTGCTCCCTGTTATCAATCCTAGAGTTAGCCCTACATGTTCTTTGATCACTGCTAGATAAGAAAATGTCTTTTGTGACCTTAGTATTCCACTTGGTCAGTGTTCAATGATTTGTACATCCTGTCCAAGATAATCATCACAACTCTAAATTTTCAATACCAAAGCTTCTTGCTTCCCCTAGCTCAGGCTGGGTTCGGGCTGCAGCCTGCCGTAGGAAAGGGCAGTGACCCTTCCACTTGTACTCAGACAACATCTGCACCCCTCCCCTTTGCAAATACTTGCCCACCAGAGCCTGTTGAACAGGGGGAAAGGCAAGAGGTCCGGGTCAGTACACATCTCCCTTATCTGGATGGAGTTTAACAATTGTTTAAATCTGATTTTGTTTTCTTCAGTGGGTGCTTTAATGGCTGTTCAGGGCCTAAATCACTCCTTAAGTCCCTACAGTTCCTGACATAAAGCCTCCACACAGATCTCTTGAGAAAACTTCCTTTAGAATACTCCAGACCAAACCAAATATTCACTCTCACTCTCTCTCTCTCCCCTTCTCTTCATTTTTCCCCTTTCTGTCCTCTCCTCTCTTTCTGCTATCCTACTTCCTTTTAAAGTTTCTTTGTGATTCTAACTTTTGAGAAGATGATTCAAGCGCTTCTTGTGGACTCCATGAAGTGCCATCACTCCAGTAAGTTTGAGGTGAAGAATGTTTTCTTCCTGTAAACTGAGCACACTATTCATCCTCTGTAAGTGGGCCTCTCTGCTCTCCAAGTCACCCAGATCCTCTAATGTGTGTACATACTCACACATGGGTGAGTGGTCAGAGCTCACATGATTGTTTGTGATTGCCTTCTCCAGTCCTCCACTGATAGACAACTCCTTGCAACATGTGAAGCACTTGGTACCAATTTTGGAAGCATTTGCTAAGTCTGAGACTAAATAGAGTTATATTTCAACATCCTGCTGCCTTTTGGATACCTTTGCTATCCATGTGTGCCTGTATCCAACGTATGTACATACAAACACACACACATACACACACAGAGCTTGACATGTTTTTCTTACTATTTGGTACATACTTCTATGCTACTTTTTTCTCACTCAACTATTACAGTTGTGAAATTTACCTATGTTAGTGTGTATAGCTCTATATCCTACATTTCAGCTCTTCTCTTGTGTGTCAATGTACTGTGGCAGGTTGGACATACCCGTCTATGCTTCACTGTATATGTTGTCTGTACCTGCCACATCATTGGAAAAAAGCAGCTCAATGATTGGTAGGCAAGTTTTGGATTTTGGCGGCACCATATTCTACACTGGCGTGTGCTCTGTTATCCCAAAATCCCAGTAGTCTATGTAAGACTACTACTTTTCACTGGGGACATTTTCTGTACATGACAATCAATCTAATTATCCATATGTCCCACTTCTTGCCCAATGGTCTTATGGGCACAGAAACATGGACTTTTCATAATGAAGGCTTATCTGGCTACCATTACTTGTGAGGGCCTAACCTGACAAATAGCAAAGAACAACACTATGCCCCAGATATGACAACGTTCCCTGGGCAAACTTGCCAGCAACTTGGTGGCAGGATGGTTACATTGGACCTCTTCCATTGCAGATGTGTATCTCAGTCCGTTCAGGCTGCTATAACAAAATACAATAAATGGGGTAGTTACATACCCCCCAAAATATTTCTCATAGTTCTGGAGGCTGGGAAGTACAAGAATAAGATGTTGGAAGATTCAGTGTCTGGTGAGAGCCTACTTCCTGGTTCAAACATGGTGCCCTCTCACTGAGTCCTTACATGGTGGCATGAGCAAGGGAACTTTCTTAGGTCTCTTTTATATAGACACTCTTCTCATTCATTAGGGCCCCACCCTCATGACTTAATCACCTCCTCAAAAACTTCACCTCTTAATATTATTACCTTGGGGATTAAGATTTCAGCATATGAACTTGGTGGGGAAATGGGACACAAACATCCAGATTGTGGCAAGGAGGCAGATATTTGTCCTCATCATAATAGACACATATTCAGGGTATGGATTACCTTCCCTATCCATAATACTTATACCAGTATCACCATATGTAGACTCACAGAATGCCACATACTTCATTATGATATTCTACATAGCATTATTTTTGATCATACAATTGATTTCACATCAGAGGAAGTTCAGTATTGATCTTATCATATAACCCATCACCCAAAAGTGCTTGGCACAATTGAAAGGTGGATAGACTTAATGAAAATTCAGGAGCCTCCCTGGGTGACAGCACCTTGAAAGGATGGAGTTCTATCTAAGAGGATGCTGTATATTCTTTAAAACAGAGTCTATTACATGATGTTGTTTCCCCTATAGATAGAATACATGTGTCCAGGAATTAAGGGTTGGAAGAGGCAGCTACTTCTCTCACTAGGACCTCTCATAGATTTTTTTGTTTCTTCTTGTCACTTTGAGCTCTGCTGATTTGGAATTGTCAGTTCCCAAGGAGGAATGTTTCTATCAGGGATGATACGAGTGATTCTACTGAATAGGAAGATACGACTCCAATATGGCCATTTTGAATACCTCATGCCATAGAAAAAATAGTCAAGTAAGGGATTATGTTACTGGCTGAGGCGATTTACTTTGATTATTAAGGAAAAATCAGATGCAGCTACATTATAAAAGAGGGAATAGGGGAGGGTCATATTTAGAATCAATTTA